ATAGTAGCGCTTTTAGTTGTTCGTGTTTAATCATGAGACATGAACACAAGTCGAATATATAAAATCGAAATGTATATAATGCATCTATATCTTCTGTTCTTAATGCTTTATTTATGAGTTTATGTACAAAACCATCTTTGGTATACCAAAATATTGCTTCATTGGAAACATATGTCAATTCAAATCCATCAATATTTGTAAGTTCTTTCTTATTTCCATAATAATAAGCTCTACATTTTTCAAGCATTTCTTTTTTTGCATTTTCTGTTCGCGACATTTTTTGAACAATTTCTTTGAACAACTGAAACCATAAAAATGAACTCGATTCTTTAGTTAAATTGCGAAATGACTTTTGTTGTTGATCATATAAATTGAAAATAGAGGATTGTTTTTGTACTAATCGAAGATTACTTTTAATAGATTTCACAAGAGCTTGCTGATCTTTGAATATACCAAGTACTTTAGTGTAGTCAGTTAATAAATATTCGTAATTTTGTTTATTCTCAGTACAATACACGAATATTGAATGAATTTGTTTAAGTGAATGAATTTTTGAAATTAAGTCCTTTGCACATAAAACAAATACAACAAAAAATATTTTTTCATTTTTAATTGATTCAATATAATTAATACATTTGGTTTGTTCGGTATAAAATAATATATAATCATTTATCTCTCGATAAATTTGCGTTGAACGTCTGATAGCTTTATCATTTAGGTCAATAGTATTATCAAACCAAATTAAGGTGATTTCCTCTTTATTTTGTATCAAATCCTTAGTTATTCCGTTGACAAACCTTCCTTCATCACTGTCTTCTTCTTCTACCGATTCCAGTTGCCCTTGGTAATCTGTAGTCAAAAATGGAAAACATTGTACTTCAATTTTTTCACAATTTAAAAGAGCATGCTCAAATAAATTTTCTGTCGGTTTCTTCTTTTGTTTTTCATCGGGCTCCACTGAGCTGTTGTTGTTTTCACAAAAGGTAAACTGTTGCAGTTCTTGTGCTTCGTGTTCATGTACTTTCTCTCGTTCCTCAGCGTATGCCATTCTTGCTTCTGAAAGAAATAATCCTCTAACATAAGGAATAATTAAGAGGCGTTTCGTGGAAGTAATCGAGCATTTATGACATCCAAGTAAAAAGCTGTGGTAAAAGCTTGAATGATTTCTTAAGTTTCTGTTCGGTTCTTTCAAGATCTTATGCACATTTATCGATATCCGACAAGATCTTGAGATCATCTTACAATTCAAGATTGTCAACAATTGTTGTTACAGAATCTTTATCGAAAAACTTCATCAAGGTTTGTGACTGATGATTTAATTAATTAGTCAGAAACCTCTTACGATACCATTGAGGGTTGTCTACTCTAGGTAGGGAATGATATTCAGATCCGAGAAATCCTACAAGTCCCTATCTACCCCTCATACACACGTATATGTATACATGTATATATATATATATATATATATATATCGAATGCTATTAGGATTTCAAGATTTCAGAACTATGCACTATACATTACACACGCCTTGCACAGATACCAAAACTATTACATATACTACAAAACATACATATATATCTGTATATATTATCATCAGTTCTTGCTCTGAGCTGCCAAGGCCGAGGGCACAGATAAGTCCAACATCGCTTTTACCAGGAATATAGGGGAATTAGATGTTTCGTCTTAATAACGTGATACTGG